CTTCAGGAAAGCCCTTTGCACGAGTCCTTGCTAAAGTGAGAAGTGAAAGCAGTTGCTTTTTCTGAGAATGACTGACTGTTTTGATGAAGCAAGGAGTCCCCTTCCAGAGATGAGCAAGGCACTCCCCTCCTTTCTGTTGCTGACGAAGCTCTGGAAGGATTTGGAGGGTGAAAAGCTGCATTATTTAATTATATATTCAAAGTTAATCTTCTTCCCCTTCAGACTGAAAAGGCAGATATGTTTCCTCTTCCCACATATCAAACAGCAGCTGGAGATCTTGTCTTGCTCCTCTTACAGTACCCTGGACTTCTTTATTAGAGTCTTTATTCCATGATGTGCTAGAAAATCATAGAATCATAGAAAAATTTGGGTTGGAAAGGACCTTAAAGGTCATCTAGTTCCAAACCCCCTGCCATGGGCAGGAATTTAACCCTTTGTGGCATTATAATATTTTCCTTCTTTTGACTCTATTTCTTCCAAATTAATCAGAAGGAAATTTGAATTTTTTAAACTTTGTGTTAGTGCCTCCCTGAAAGAGATCCTAAAAGGAATGCAAAGGGCTCACAAGAATCCTAAAGTACTTTACTTTGACTTTCCATAGGGCTGACATTCATTGGTGTAAAAAATTGGAAGTTAATGGCCTAAAATACTTTCCTTTTTAAATGTAACTATTGGGCTGCTCAACATTTGGTCTTGTAACCTGAATCTTGATCGTATCAGCAGTTTCCTCCAACAACGAACTCTAATGCTGAACTTCAAGGGCACGAGCTTTGCTTTGGGCCATGCTGTGTTTCACAAATATGTGATGGAATATTGATGATTAAGAGCCTCTACCTTCTGCAAGTTAAGGAGAATTGGCCTCTGCTTCTTCAGCCCTGGATGGTCACAGGTTTGCTTGTTGTTTCCATCCATGAGTAAAACGTATAGAAATATATAAACAAATCCCATGACAGATGCATTCTTTATGAACAGGATTATCTGTAATAATTTTAGTTGGCTAACATGTAGGCATTTAGTCTGGGCTGTCCTTTCAGCTGCAGGCCTGGGTACACTTGCAGTGAAGCACTATGCAGGGTACTCATCTCTCTCCTCGTTCTGCCCTGAGCCCAGGGAGCTCTCTTGGGGTCAGAATTTTGTTCTCAGACAGCAGCAGTGAGGCAAGACCCATCACACCCAGCATCATCCAGAGCAACAGGGATCACGGCCAGTGGAAGATGGTGGTGTGTGAGAAAAACTGCCCAGCAAGCAGCTGTGGCAGCCCTGGGCTGTTGGGAGCAGGCCCAGCATGATCTGCCTTTGTATGTAACTACAGCTGTATCGATAAATCTCTTGTGCTGGCATTGGTTTTCACGGGCTTCACTGAGAAACTCGGTTTCCAGGAAGATAAAAATCTTCATTTACAGCTGTGTTACTGTATTTTGTTAACCCCTAAAAGTAAAACCCTTAAATTAATCACTTAATAAGGCTCATGGGAGAGAAAAAAAATTTATGGTAGACAGATGTGATTTGGATTTACAAGTAATTCAGCTTTTACGGTCTGTATTTCTCAAACTATTATCAGGAATCATGGTCTAACCCAATCCAGATGCATACTATAAACATCGGAGGAGGAAAATCCTTTTAAAATAAGGGTTCTGGCATGTTTCAAGGGTCCAGGCCATATTCCAATGATTCAGTTCACCTGCTCCCCATTGGTACTGGCTGCACTGGGCCAGCCCTGTGGACAGGACCCCAGACAGCTTTGGGGTGCAGCATCCCTCCCTCACGTCATGTTTTGGAGCAGGGCGACTGTGTGTGGATGTGGGTTCTGGGAGTCCCTGTGTCTCTCCAGGACTGGAGCAGCAGGCAGTGTGGGCAGGTGGCTGAAGCTGAGCTTGCTGCCCTGTGCAGGAGTGCTGGTGCTGGGCCTGAGCCAGGGGCTTGAGACTCTGAAACCACACGGGGCTCTCGAGGCGGGCGCCGCAGCGCAGCCTCCCTCGCCCGCCCCAGGCTTCCTCTGCCTTGGCTCCTGGGGCTGCTCTTGGCCTCTCACCACTGCCTTTTTCTCACTTGCTTGTCCGCAGCAGTTCTGAATTGCCTTTTTTTTTTTTTTCTTCATCTGTGCTTCAGAATGTAAAAGGCCACGGGGAGTTGTTGCAGAGGTGCTGGCGGAGCTGCTCTGGGGGTGTGAGTGTGGAGCAGGATGAGGGAGATGCCCACCTCATGTCCAGATGTGGGAGTGCCAGGACCTGCAGCAGCAGGAGAGACTGCTCAGGCACAGAGGAGAGCAGGGCTGCATTGCTTGGTGGGAGCAGAGAAAAGGGGGGAAAAAAAGTCCAGGCTTTGGAAGGAGGAGGTGCTGGGAAGGAACTTCTCAGGGGCAGAAGCACAGCTGCAGACAGAGCTCCAGGAGTAGGCAATTGGGATTGAGGAGGGCTGACAGCCTGGGCAGTGCTCTACCCAGTGACTGTCTCCTCTCAGTTCTGGTATGTGGGTATTGGAAAGATACTGCGCAACTCTCAGCAGACACTGGGTAACCTGTGAGGTTAACAGAGTGGGAATAATCAGTGAAATATTTGCTATCTGTGCTTTGCTCTGTGTGAGGCAGCTGAGTGTGACTGCTCCCTCAGGCCTGGCGCATTTGGCTCTGCCCAGCTCCCATCATCAGCTCATCTGCTGTGACCTTGGCCTCAGCTCCCAGATCGTGGCTGATGAGGGACAGAAAGTGCATTTTGGTGGCGCCCTAAGGGACTGGACTTCTGTTTTGAAGAGGCAAGAATGCCTCCTCTGGAGATTAAAAAACCTGAACTGGTCCTGCTCACCTGAATGGATGGTAACTGTTTTAACTGCCACTTGTTCATTGTGCTTCCTATCTCTTTGACCTTTCTTTCAATAGGCTTTGTACCTTCCCTCTTTTTCTCTCTCTCACTTTCTAATACAGAACCCTGTTTCAAAGGTTATTATTTAGAAAGTGCTTTGTACATTTTGTTTTGTATTGTTTAAGAATACAGAAGTCAAACGTATTTAGGAAGGAAATAACACAAACTAACTGATAGGACAAGGGGAGGTAGCTTCAAGCTGCACCAGGTTGGATATGAGGAAATTTTTCTGCACTGAAAGGATTGTTAAGCACTGAGACAGGCTCCCCAGGGAAATGGTGGAGTCACCATCCCTGGAAGTGTTTAAAGAATGACTAGATGTGACAATTCACAGTGTGGTTCAGTGGGCATGGTGCTATTTGGCTGAAGACTGAACTTGATGATATCTGAGGTCTTTTCCCACCCTAATAACTCTATTCATTTTATTGGGTTTTTTTCTAAACATTGGACTTTGTCATAGTCTCAAAACATGTTTTTCCAGGAACAGTCAAAGCCAGAGCAGCAGGCCTTCCCTCACTGAACAGCTTTAATCCACTGCCTGGGATGCTGGAGGCCGGGCTGGCCCAAACAGGCACCATGCAGGCACTTGGTTGGCTCTGCAGAGTCAGCCAAGGTTGACAGTGGCTGGCACTTGCCACAGCTAAATCCTCTACACTCTTGACATCTCCTCCACAGTACTCTATGTCTCCTGCTTCGTCTCCTCCTGGTCTGGAGATTTTATTAGTGCTGGAGAAATATTGGATTTGAGATGATTTTGTGAATGTGCCTGGCTTTGGTACAAGAAGAGGGGATTCAGGGCCAGGACACCCAAAGAGTACACAAAAATGCTGCCTTCAGCAGCATCTCAGATGCCTCCAGGCTGGTGTAAAATATTGTCCTGTGAACTGTTTAGAAGAAAATCTCTGGGAAGGTAATTTCAGCTTGTTTGTTGGTTTTATATACAATGTTGGGCAAATAATGTAATCTCTCTGTCTCTGTTTACCCCATATATATGAAATTTTATAGTCCTGAGGCAATGTGGTGAAGGATATTTTTCATAAAGTGCTTGAACCATATTTTTTAAATGCCAGAAAAAGAGGGGGAAGAAGGAAAACCATCTAGGATCTCAATTTATTTCCATGGATTTGTTTCTAAATGCATGATTTAGGAAAAAAATGAATGTAAACTCCTAGTTCAGACAAACAAACAAATCTACTCTGTGGTATTTTTTTCTGGGTGTGTGAGGCTGTCAGAGGGAACAGTGATTGTTTATCTTCATCAAAGGGCTTTTCAGGTTATTGGCAATTTTTGTCTTCCTCTTTTGAAGTCCCTCCAAATCTGCACAAAGCACAACTCAGATTAATTTTAAGAAGTTTGTTTGTTTGGGTTTTTATAGAACTGTGCAATACAGCTTTTCCTTGGGGGATGGACCTGGAGCTGCATATTGGATCTACAGTTGCTTAGCCTTTGATTTCTTTAGCTATACTTTGTGAATTTTCTACATCCTTATTAACTGATACAGGGCCAGTTTTATCAGGTTTATCTGCTGAAACCCAACAATATTAAGGTGTCCTGCTGGATGTGGTCAGTGTATAAATATTTAAATGGTGGCTGAAAAGATGGAGACTCCCTTTTTAGGAGTCACGTGGAAAACATGAGGGGCAATGGTTTCAAGTTACTCTTGGAGTATTGAATGTGATGGTGTCAATCTTGTACATTTAATGCAGAATTGAGAAGCCCTACCCTAAAATTTTGTCCAAACAATGTATTTTCTCACACACACTTGATGAAGGAAGCCTTAACCAGGCCCAGTCATGAGTCCCTGCAGGAGAAGCTGCTGGGTTTTCCCAGAAAATAAACATCCTGTTTTGGTAGGGGGAGCTTGCAAACATTTCTGTCCCTGGAGATACTCTCAGCTGGCTGAGGTCCTGGACAGTCTGGTTTAACTGAACCTGTTTAGAGAGAAGGCTGGTCCTTTTTGACCAGATTAATCCTATAATTCTTATATTCCGAATTCCATCTCGTTTGCAAAGCAGCAGTGTTGCCCTCACACTGGCTATAATTTTTCCATGGAGTGCTATGCAGCACTGCCACATTTATGCTGCCAAGCATCCAGTGACATAAATGACTTTGTTTGCTGATGTATCTGGTATTTTTGTGCAGATGCTGCATCAGTTCTTGGCCTCACAGATCCCAGGCTCTGCTACATGCTGGATGGATTCCTCTTCATTTATGCAGTGGTCATGACAGCCCTTTTTGTGAAGGCAAAGGTCAGTCTAACCCAACACAGATGCATTTGCATTTGGTGGTGTAAAGAAGTTGAGCTGGGCTGGAAAGTGGGAGTGGAGGAGAATCATCTTAGAATGCAACCTTTCTATTATTTTGCTTTCTTTCTCTCTCTCTCTCTTTTTTCCTTTTCTTCCTCACCTCTCTGTTTCTAGCATCCACTTGAGCAAACTAAATCAGTTCTTTCCAAAGGTTCATGAATGAAGGGGGGAAGAGTATATGACAGAATTTTGATGTTGCATTTATAGATACATCAGAGATTCTGGATTTTGTAGATGGGAAGTGACTGATCAAGAATAAAGTGGGGTTTTTTCTCCTGCTTTGTCATTGGAAGGAGAGGAGGGGATACAGAAAATACAGGGAAAATGGCAAGCTTGTTAAAGATTTATTAAAATATCTCAACAATTCAGACATCTTTGATACTATGAGTGCGACGATGCAAACAACCCAAACAATCACAGGAAAGGACTTGTGTAATTGCTGCAAACGTGATTCTATGCCTAAATATAGACTGAGCTACAAGGTTACTTTTAATAAAGAATTCAATGTGGTAATAACTCAAAAAGAGTAAATCAATCAGAATGTAGTTTGGCAGGGTTTTTGTTTAAACACTACAACACAAAGTAGCTGCTCTTATTGACTTAAAAGTATCTTTTTACTCAAAATTTTGGCTTAGCAATTGATTTCTCATGAGTATTGTGAACAGCTGAGCCATAGAGCAGCTACAGAAGGGATAATCCTTTACCTCTTTGTTAGCTGCCACTCACATCAACTTATTGGGGTGGCACCAGAACCCTGCAAGCCAAGTGCTGCTCCTGAGGGGTGCAGGGATTCCCTGCAGGAAGCCAAACAACTTTGCAGGCAGCTGGAGAACCGATGTCCCAGGGAGGCACAAGATTATGACAGGAAGAGGATGGAGAGACAAAATCTGAGGAGGGCAAGTGTGTAGGGAACAAACTCAGACGTTTGTGAGCTGGTGTTATGTGAAATAAAATGGCTTGGCTGCTGAGGGGAGGCTGCTGTGTGGATAAAAGTGCTGCTGCAGCAGGGGTCTGCATTGCCTGTAGCCACACAGGGAGCTGCTTGCGGGTTGCCCTGTTTCTGATAAGAGTAACTGGTAGGGGAGAGGGAATGAAAGGACTGAGGGGAGCCACTGTGTCTCTGCTGATGGAATGGTCTCTCTTCCAGCTCAGCCAGCCCCCTGAACCACAGCTGCAACCAGGCCAGGATGATGTGTACAATGTGAGTAACTGCTGGTCTTTGTTTTCTAATCCACCATCCAGACAGACCTTTTGGGGCACTCAGACAATGAATTGCCTGCTGGTCAGAAAAGCTTTGGATGAGCCAGCTAATGAGTAGGTTGTACATGTGTGCAGCATGGCGGCTGTAAGGAAGAAAGGTAAAACCTTGTAGGGACAGCTTCTGGTGTCACCCCTCTGGCCAGATTCTGGAGAGCTCTTTGGGCTGTTGGTTCCTGATTTGTCCCACTGAACTCTAGGCTGGCAGGAGCCCAGACTGTTTTTTGTGCTGCCCCATGGAACAAACAGGCCTGTGAGAGTTCTGGGTGTGTGTACAGGCACTGCCCCTGTGCTGCTGCTTGATGTGGGCTGGGCAAAGGGCAAATGCCAAGGAATGCTGTGGAGCTGACTTTGCACCTGCAGCTCTTCCACTCTCAAGTGTGTGAGCCCTGAGCCACCACAGCCCCTGTGCCTCCATTCCCAAGCTTTCCCATTGCCCCACAGCAAGTGCTGTTGTACCAAATCATACCAGAGATGTGCCTTGTCCTGTGCCCTGACCATGGGCAGCATCTTTAGGCAGTGAAAGAGGACAGAGGCAAGATCCTGCCTGAGTCTCCTCACTAAATTGCCCACTCATGGCAGCATTCAACTGTAGCTATTTTTGCTGTGTCTAGCTGTCTTTTAATTTTTTTTTTCTCACGCTTTTGACCATAGCCACATCCTGTGATGAATTCTGTTTAACTCTGTAATGTCTGAACACTAATGCAATTTCTTTTCAGTTTAAGTAAGTGTAGCCCATCACCTTTCAAGTAGCACTCTGTCAGCTGTGTTATTTTGACCTGAAGTCTCTCTTTTGCCCTTGTCCAAGGTAACTTTTCCTAGCTAAGAATTGTCTTGGGCATAAAATTTCTGTAGCTCCTTGATGCAGATTTAGATGACCAGCTCTGCAAGAAAAATTAAGTTTGTGGATCTTCGCTCTCCAGTGGGAGAGAAAGCATCAAAGTCAAGAGACCCTCCCCATCATGCTCTTTAGTATTCAACTCATTTCCACTTAGGAAAGGTTCTTAATGCAACAGCTTGCAGTTTTGTGCCATTTCCATGGCTAAAATGTAGATGCTGTTGACGGTTGCATTAGGGAGTAAAAAGAATTTCTAGTTCAGTGATAGTCCTTGTGAGCTGAGCTGGTTCCCTCTCTTTTCTGGTTAAGATCTGTTATGATCTCATTATCACGGTGTCCATCCAGCGCTTTCGCTCTCCCGTTTCAGAAACTCTCCCGCACGCACAGAGACGATTACGACGTTCTGGGAGGAAAGCGAGGAGCAGACCCCGAGCTGGGCGGGAGACACCAGGTAACCTCCACGCACAGGTGCACCTCTGCCTTTGATCTGGTGCCTCCCACGCCGTGTCACAGCGCTGCTCACACAGGCAGCCACCCCAGCGCCTTCCTGGGGAGGGAACGACGCGATTCGTGTCGTAACCCGGGCGGTTTGATCCCTGCCCTTTGGTCTCTGCCCCCTGCTCGGCTGGGAGCTCGCAGCCACCCGGGCTGGAAGTGACACCCGGGGCGGATGCGGAGGAGGCCCGGCAGCAGTGGGTGTTTCACAGAGCTCGCTGCCTCTGATGCCATCAAACAAGCGCCTACAAAGCAGAGCAGCAGCCAAAACAACTCTTTCTGCTGCAGAGCCCATCACTTTCAAAGGAAAAGGGAGGGAAAACCTCCTGCATCAGCAGGTGACAGCTGTAGGGGGTGAGCAGAGAAGAACTAAGTTCTACCAATTGCTAAAGTGAAATAAATTTTCCCCAGAACAAGTTGTCTGAACAGAGCCTTATGATGAGTGGAGGCAGGATGGACTGGAATGGGCAGGGAAAGTTCACAGAGCAGCAACTGTGCCATGGAGCAAATGCATAAGCACATAAAAGGTGGTGGAGAATACTGGTAATGCAATGTATGGCCAACTTTTTTCTTCTGTTTTACAGCAGAGGAGAAAGAACCCTCAGGACACTGTCTACACTGTGAGTAGAGCACTCTGGAGGGAGGAAGGAGGGAGGGATGGCTGGGAACAGGAGATTCTTCCATAGGCCACTCAATTTCAGCTCTGGTTCAAAACTCAACAGCTGCTTTTCCAGACTTCTCTTCCCTTCCACCCAACTCTTCCCCCCAGACTCTGTTTTTGCTAGAAAATTTCTGCTCACTTCTGAGGGACAGGAAAAAAAACACTGGGGAGATGTGGAAAAGAACTTGGATCAAGATACCTGCTAATGCCTAATGCTAGTGACTAACCATCCTTCATCCCATGTGAGTGCTGCTGCAGTATTTCCTGTGCATGGACTCCAGCCCTGTGCCTGCTCTCTGGCAAAGGTCAAATACCAGTGCATCTAAGAGGGGCTGTTTAGGAACCTCTTGATGGAATTGATTTGACTCTGGCTAAATGTGGTGGTCTGTGCTCCAAAGCACAGATACAGGAATGTTGATTCTCATGTCTTAACTTGGGTCTTTCTGGGTCTTCAGTGTTCAAGAAATGAGCTTTTTTCCAAGACCTTTGCTGCTATTGAATGAGACTCCGAGTTCAGTTGGTTTTAAATGTGGTTACCCAGGGGCTGTGTTGGCTTTTCTACTGTCACACTGACTCTTTTCCCCTCTCTGCCTGCAGTCACTGCAGAAGGACAAGATGGGTGAGGCGTACAGTGAGATTGGAATGAAGGGAGAGGTGAGTCTTACTTTCCTTCCTGGTGAAAACATGGCAACAGAAAACATTTCAGCATTTGGCCAGAAAACCCCTGAAGGCTGCCCTGGCTGGGGGGACTGAGGGCATGAGATGAGTGAGGAACAGCTGGAGGAAGATCTGGTGTCCAGTGCTGCAATGGTCCAGCAGCGCTGGAAGATTTTGGGGCATGTTTCTCCAGAGCAGTTTGGAGCTTCAGGTTTATGGTTTCTCCTCCACGGGCTGCTGAGGCTGGCTGGTGTTCCAGGATCAGGAGAGCAAGTGCCAGCTCCTCCTTGTGCCTGACTTCAGACAAGGAATAGGGGAAATGTCCTCCTTCCCATAGCTCTGCTTTCAAATGTTTCAGAAGGCACACATCAGTCACATCTCCAGCTACAGCAGAGGGAGAGTTTTTAGCTCTGTGCACAAACTGCTGGGGGAAGAGGGCTTGTGTCAAAAACAAACCATCTGGGGATGCTTGTTTATGGCAAAATGAAAAATTGCTCTGACCTACACAGGTTCTATTTTATGTCAAAGTGTCATTCATATATATATATATATATAAACCTTTCATTTTCTTCTGACACATGAAAAAAGGGGCATTTCAAAACAAAGTTTAGTGTTGAGAAATGCTGAAGCAACACCAACATTTAATCTCTTCCCCTTTTTTATTCTAATGCTCCTCTGCCAGAGTCAAGCTCTGTCTATGAGCTATGGGGCTATAAAGTTGCACCGTGTTTTTTGAATGTTTCTGTTTCTGGAGGGACAAGAACACCAAAGCCCTTGTCCCATTCCAAATATATGACCATTTAATAGCTTGCTGCAATTTTAACTGTAACAAGCACTACTCCTTGACACATTTGTGATGCAATCTAATACTAAATAATCAGTGTCTACAGAAATGCTGCCAAATCTCTATACATAGAGTGAATCAAAGAAATAGCAACATTCTAACAGTATGACAGGAAAATATGTCAGCAAACGAAACCAATTTGCTTTTATTTCCTATTCTATTTTCTCCTTAACAGCCCTTGCAGCATGTCTGGGCTGGTCCAGACTTACCAGGTGCTTTCCTGTGCAGAGCAGAGTCCAGGCCATGCACAGCTGGTACATCCTGTACACCCTCAGCACAACATGGGGGAACTCAGGGGCTTCTTTCTTTTTGCATAATCAGGAAAGCACCCACTAATCAGTCTATGCTTATTTTATTTTCCCAAAGCAGCAGAGGCGGCGAGGCAAAGGCAATGAAGGTCTCTACCAGGTAGGCACCACCTCCCACAGCTGCTCCCCTCACCTGTGCTCCTGAGTGGCTGGATATCCAGTGGCACTGTGGGGGAGGCACAGAGAAGTGAAAGGCAGCTGGAAGTTTCCCAAGCAGGGATCTCATTAGCTCCTCACTCTTGGAAGCCCCAGCTACCCCTGCTCTGGGATGCACAACACTGGGATGGCACAGCTGCCTTACCTGAGCAGGCTGTCAGGGAAAGGACTGGGCACCACTGCAACAGCTGTCAGGGGATGCTTCCCAGGATTCAAAACCACATCAGGTCCTACTGCCAACTTACTTACCCAGAGCTACACCTGATTTTCCTTCCAAATAGAAGAGGAGAAGTCCAGAGAACAAAGTTCATTATTTCATGTCTATTCATTTAATTATCGATGCTCATTCTAGCATCACTTAGCTCTTAATAATACACAAATAAAATGTACTCCAAAGATTTGCAGAACCAGCTAGGATGATTTGCTGTAGTCATATTTTCATAACCATTATTCAGGATGTACCTTGCCTTCGGGTAAGTAATAGCTATTTGCACCACACAAAGACTAAAGAATCATTCAGGAGTAAAAACCTCTGTAGGGGGGAAAAAAAAGTCAGACTTATCCTCCTGACTGAGCCCCTGCCATCCTGCTGCTGCCAGTCAGCCAGGAAGAAGTAAGCACTCACACTCATCCCTCACCTGTTTCTCTGGTTTTCTCTTTTTCAGGGGCTCAGTGCAGCAACCAAGGACACTTACGATGCTCTCCAAATGCAGCCTTTGCCCCCCCGCTAAGTGGGAGCCTCAGAGGGGATGGGCAAGAGTGAGAGATGCCCACCTGCTTTGGGGAGGAGAGGGGGGAAAGCCTTTTTCATCCAACACAAGCACTGTGTGTTTTCTGTGTGCAGGAACCTCCTTGGGTTGGTGCACAGAGTCTGAACCTGGCCTTTTCCTTCTCTCTCTCCTCCTGAATCATGTAACTGCTTTTGCTATTAGAATGTACATATCTGTAAAGTTGTTTCCAATTATAGTGGGTATTAGGCTGATTTTTTTTTTTTTTTGGTCAGGTTTGTGTTGTGGGGACTAGACCACACCTTCTAACAAACACAGCTATTTCTATAGCTCTTCCTTGTCTTCCAGAATATTAAGACATGGAATTATGGCTTTATTGCTTTTAAACAATTTGCAAAGATAGGGTTGTATTTACTTCTTGCAGTATTTATATAAGACTATTTCACCCTTTTTGCTTTAAATTTGCCTTTAAAAAACTGCTTCAGTGGAGGGCAACATTTTTTTTTTAATTATAAAGAGTGACATGATGTTACAGAAGTGAAGTAGAGAGGCTGAATGCCAACTTTCCAGTGAAAGAAAATGAGCACCAATATCCAAAAAAAGATCAAGCAATGGCACTGCCAGTCATCCATAAATATGAGCCAGGTAAGCTGAGTGAAAGACTTCTCTGAAGGCAGAAAAACAAAGAAAACAAGGAGATGGGTTCCCCTATTATCACTTCCAGACAACAAACTGTACAAAAGCCAGCATAAATGCAGTTTCCAACTGCAGACCATGAGGCTGCCTCTAAAAGGTGCAGGTATCATTCCAAGGAGGCACCAGCTCAATAATGTCATGTGTTTTTGATGAATTAATAGAACAGTGCCACAGTCCCGTGTGTGTGTGCAGGGAGCAGCAATGGGAATGGCACAAGCTCCTTACCTGAGGCATTCAGCCCATCTGAACCAGCCTGAACCCAGCAGCACCATCTCCCAGGGAAGCTGAGGAGGACAGGATTCCAGCAGGAGCTCCTACACACGTCCCAGAAGCTGAGATGGGCTGTTGGGAAAATGCCCCAAACCCAGGTATCAAAGGGACACTCACTCACCTCCTGCTGCTGCAGCCTCAGTTTTGCCCGTGCCTCGCAAGCTGCACAGGGAAGCCTGGAGGAATTCAGCAAGGACAAATCCAGCCCAGCAACACCAGGGGTGTTTCATCTCCACTCCACTGACCAAGTCATCTCACCAGTCACACAGAGGAAGCAGAGCTAAAACAAGGCTGTGGAAATAAGAGCTGCTGCTCTGGGTACTGGCCAAATGAGCTTATGTCTTCTTTCCAGGGACTGGGTGGGTTTTCAGCAGAAAAACTTGCTGAAATGGGTGCTATGCAAGTTCCAAGGCAGTTTTACTTCTTCAAGCAGTAAAACTGTACCTGCAGTAGGTGCTTGTAGCTTTTAAAGAATATTTGCAATAAATTAAAGCAAAAAAAAAGTAAACTGAGACATGGTAATGAATGTTTCTTGCAAAAAAAATATTCTTAGATCCTTTACTCTTCGGCAGTGACAAGAAAAATTGAGAGAACTGGGTGATAACTGAGACAGCTGAGCTGAAAATTACAGTAAAGTTATGCTGCAAAGCACTCGATGCAAGAACAAAGAGTGCTGAAAACAGCTTTCTCTTTTTAAATCACCATAACTATATCTGCAAGATGTAGAAGTCACAAGCTTTGGCAGTGTGAAATACCAACTGCCAAACAATAGGAATTAAATTCTTGGGGTGGAGGGGGGGTGGAAAAATCACCTTTATGCTCTTTATATATCAATGGATACCTTGATTTCAAAGTGCATCCAATCCTGGTTTTGGGGCCACTCACTGTGGGATTGAGCTGAGTCTCATCTTTGCCTTCAGGAAGCGACTGAAGCTGTTTCTGCTTTTAGGAGAGGAGCTGATAAATACAGAATTAGAACAAAAGCTTCCAGCAGAGTGCATAAAACCTGGGCTCTCCTCCAGTCTGACAAGACAAAAGGCATCACAGATCAATCTTCTGACCATTTTGATGCAAGGGGACACATTTAAAAACTACAAACAAGTGCATACATGTTAAAACACTTGGAAAATGGTTTAATGATGTTTACAACAGAAATGAACTGTACAATTACAGTAAGTTTAATATATATAAAAAATTACAGCAGACAAATGCATCTACACAAAATCTACCTTTTCATTCTGATTTACTGTAATCTACACAATCTCTCAATGCCTACAGCTATCTGTAGGCAACCACTGGGAAAATAATAATAATAATAATATAATAATAATAAAGGACATCTTTAAAGAGACAGCATTTCGCCTTCCTCCTCACCCTTAGTGTGATCAGCAAGGTTTTGAAATGTGTGGGACTCTCACATTTCAGTCTCAAGAAAAGCTTGGGTTGCGTTTGGGTAGGGTACTCCCATAATGGCCCTTGATTTCAAGTGTTCTGCTGACCTCAAGTGTATCAATGCAGTGTATGAGGAAGGCCAAGAGAAAAAACAACCTCCCAGCCAGTGTAAGCAGGCAGTTGCACAGAGCAGTGAAACCATTAGGACCAAAAACTTGTCTTATTTAGAAAAAAAAAGCAAAAAGGGACTGCCCAGACACTACAGACATTCACAAATCCTAATTTCTTTGAAAGTTATGATCAGATTTAGAAGAAAGGGCTTGGTTTTCCACTCCCAATTCCTCATACAAAGGGGTAGTTTTCAAACTAACATGGTAAATACTTTTTAAAAACAAAATTTAAGCCACTTCCTCTTTGGCCCACCCCTTAAAACAGTGAAACCCCCTTTGCACTGAGAAGGAACCTCAGGTCAGTGGGGAAAACAAAAGAACATGCTGTCTCTTTAAAAAGAAAGAAAGAATCCCAGTTGGGAGCGGCCATCAGTGAAAATGCAATCCAAATTGGCGGTCTGGTGGAAATTCCTCACGGAATATTATGTACAGTTTAAAAACCCTTTGTTGTTGGTTTTTCTTTTATTATTATTTATGAACACCTAGGCAGTGAAAACCGTTATGTTAATACATACATAGACACACCCAAAACATACAAAAATACTATTATTTCAAACTACTAAGAATAGGACAAGTTCAGTTATCTCCATGCTATGACTTTAAGAGCATTACACTGAAACAAACAAGAATTTAAACGACAATTTTTTAATATCCCAGAAATATACCAAAATATACATCTAAGCTTTGGAATTACTGAGGTTAGACTAATGCAAGTGCTGGGTAATCGTACTTAATACACAAGTCTAAGGTTCTGCAGGAAAGAAATTATCTTTGGTATCTGCATCAGGCTAATAATATTAACATTTGGATTTTGCTTTGGGATAGAGCTTGTCTGACCCTAGAACCAAACACCCCCCAATCAACTGAGATTAAAAAGATCCATGTAAAAAGTTCCTCCATTTGCAATCCCCCCCCAAAAGTTAAAAAGTCACAGGCATCTACCTAGCATAAAAGGTTGAGAAATACAATGCATAGTTGCACAGTGGTGCTGCAAAAATAAAAGAAATCTAGAAAAAAGGAACTAGAGGAGAAATGAAAAGCTGCTTCTTCTTCTTTCAGGGATTTCTCACAACAGGACAGCCTCTTCCAAGCAGTGAAGGGGGGGGGGGAAGCTCAGAAGTGCACCTCAGCGTGTATTAATCAACATCACCCAGCCCCCAGAGGGTTAAAGCACCCAGCAGAGCAGCCAATCCTGCACCCAAGTCTTCAGCTCCTCAACCCACCTGCGAAGCCCCGGCCTCCCTTCCCAGCGCCTGCGCCCCAGATTTCAGCCTGGAGCCGGGAGATGCTGCCCGGGGCGTTCTGGAGCCCCGCGCTGGCCCCAGGCCGGCAGCGACCCTCGCCCAGCCAGCCCAGGCCAGGCCGGCCTCACAGGTGGGCTTGGTGCTGAAGACGCCCTTTGTCTTTGGTTTGTTTGTTTGTTTTGAGTTTATACAATCATTAGGAAATCTTTGGTTTTGGCTGGAAATTTTAAAAGAACAAAACAAAACAAAGAAACCGCCCCCTCCCGACTTATAGCAGCCACCGTGACCTGACAAAGCTTCTCTTTCCCATGGGGGTAGGGGAACTACATTCAAATAAAGATGGACCGGGTTAAGGATGCAGCTTCTGGCCAGGCTGGGGAGTGGGGAAGGGATACAGGATTGTCAAATAATAAAGAAGAAAATTAAGTATTTGGAGATTTCTATTTTTTTTCCTTTTTTTTTTTGTTTTTTTCTTTTTTGGTCATGTTAAAAAGTGAGTAGCATGTACACAGCACTGGGCTGAGAGTGCCTCCAGGCCCTGGAGCTCAGCGTGGCTCTGGGGTGGGAAAAGGCAGCGTGGGTGGCCCTTTTCCATGGAGAGTGGAGGGGAGGGGGTGGATATTCACAGACTAATCAAGAGGACCCCTTGTAACCAAAGGAAATAAGATAAGATTGCAATTTGCCCTCACTTTGCAGTAGCTTTTAAGCAGCGACATTCAGAGGCGTTAGGGGGTCACTCCCCAGGTTGCAGGTCACGGGGTGCTATAGGCCAGAGTTCAGTGTTAATCAAAGGAGGGAGGGCAGACTTGGCAACTCTGTGGGGTTTGGAGAAAGTTAAAGCAAGTTACTCAGTTACGAGTTAGAAATGAGGTATACGACAGCTCCTGTACCTGTGGCGGATAAACACCCCACACCTACTCACACCTAGCCTTAGATACTACCACAGAGGAAGGAAATGGAACAACGGCACTGGCGGGGACGAAGGAGCTCCTGCCCGGGCCCTGCGCACGGGGGGCACACGGGGGGCACGGGGCCGGTGCTGCTCCAGCCCTCCCCAGCCGCCCGCGCTGCGGGGAGGCGCGGCCCGGCTCCTGGGAACTCGCGGGGAGCGGCCCTGAGCTCCAAGTCTGTCTCTTTGCGTTCTCCCCTCGGACTCGCTCAGGCACAGGGAGCACCGGGGTCACAGAGGCCGACACATGGAGAGTGAATGGGGGAAGAACTAAAGGTTTCGTCTCAACTGCCTTGTTCTCAGGACACTGTCACGGGTGCTCTTGTTCCTAAATCGTTTCTCAAGGGGGTTGTGCGATCTCCACGAGTTGCCCCTTGGCATGCCATTCCCTAAGGTCTTAGGATTTCTACTGTTGAATAATTTCAAGGTTTTATAGCACCGCAACGTGCCGGCTTGGAACGCACACGAAGTTATGACATTCAGGGAATAGGGCTTCCGTAGCTGCTGCCACAGAATTCCTCAAAGGCAGTGTGAATCCTGAAGTGGGGCCTACAACAGATAAGACAATTTTGGGAGGGAAGGGGAAGCTAACGTGATAAATTAAGTATCTTACGGTATTATGTAAAGCTCTGCCGGAGAATATTCCCCAGCAGACCGACACAGTTTTAAGACAGATCAGCATTTTGGTCTGAGCTACTTGACAATGTCCTGTTTGGTAGAGAGATGAAATAAGGCAGAGGGGGTATGTTCCAGTTCTGGGGCTGAGCCTCAGCAGCACTAAGGAACGCCAAAGGTATCGTCTTCCCTCGCCTCCCACAAGCTGTTTCATTTCCTTCCTCAGATTTGTTTTCCATAAAGCACACCTTGTTTTCCACTTCTTTTGTTCCAAGTGCTCTTTTCTTTGAGAAGTCATTTCTTCAATATCCCTATTACCTATCTATAAATCTAACTAGCTCTTTGAAAAGTCACACAATATTAATACCACTTTTACATAATGTCAGAACAACAATTCTATTAGTAAAGCTTTCAGTGAAGTTCTGCAACCCGATTGGTGTCTGGAGGAAGAGTAGCTGGACAACCCGCTCTCCCCCTTCCTCCCTCCCTTTCTTCACAAGAGCTCACCAAGTTCACTGATAAAACAGCTCAGCCCAATAGCACGATACATGAACATGTACAAGGCTACTTTGGGGAGCAAAGAAAGGAGTCTTCAAGGTCCCTCCCTTAAGAGAAAGACCATCTGCAAAAGCTGTTGAACAGACTCTGACCTTGGACTATACTGCTTCCACATTTGAAGGAAAGAAACAGTTTTCCCTGACTGTATCCCAACATCAGCCTAAGACCTGCAGCACTGGGCAAACCCCAGACACCGTTTGTCTTCACAGAGCCGATGCAACTCCATGCAGAAAAGGTGGGAGTACCCGCAAGAGATGAGGTCCTTAGAGGAAGGGACACTGACCCAAAGCTCAAAAACCCCCCACCCAGCTTTTCCTCTTACCCGCTCTGAGAACAGCAGAGCTGACAACTTATCAGTGCCTTTGGTTCCCTACGAGGCCACTGGGAATTCTCCCTCCCCAGTGGAGTCGAGCTCCTTTAGAAACCCAGCTCTCGCTCCCCGCACGCAGCCGGCGCCGGCTGGCGCTCACACGCACTCGCACGCACACCCACCCACCCATGCACACCCTGCCCTCTTCCCCCGCTCCAGCAGCCTCAGGGGAAATGGGAAGGGAGCCTTGGAGCCCACACGGAGCTGGCTGCAACACCCTCCCAAGGCAAGAACCACTCGCTCTTCTGCTACTGCCACCACAACACCAAGACATCGGCCAGGAGAACGACCTGGTCCCTCGCCAACAACACCTCAAAGCTCCTCTCCCACAGCCGTCTCACAGTATTTCAACCCTTTCAGGCAAACCAGCCAGGTGTTAGGAGTAGGTTAGCTTTCACCTCTCTCAGTTTGGTTTTTTCTTTCATAGTTTTTGGTCTAGACAGGATTAGCATTGCTATTAGAAAAGGAAGTGTTTAAAAAGTTTTCCACCTATTATCAAGCACTACAAGCCCTACATTCAGTAACAAGACAAGGGGGATAAAAGGAACCTGTTTCACTTTTGCTCTCCCAGATAGATTAAGATGCGACAACCATTCTCGTCCCTCCCTGGAGTTAAACACAGCGGACCCAGTTCAGCTCTGGAGCAACTCAACTCAACTGAAACGGATTTACAGCCCCGAGGTCGATCCTAGCCCAGTACAGCCATCTCTCCCCTGAGCCTCCTCGATATTTGCTGCCTCATCTTCAGATCCCAGCGAGGGGCAGGGAAAGGCCAAGAGGGAGGGAAGTGTGCGCACACTCAAGAGGACCCTGAACAGCAACCCCATCAGTAACCTGCATGCCACCACGTGCTGTGCTGCAGATTAGACCACAGATAAACCAACCAAACAACAATCCCAAACCCAGGAGCGACAAAATGTTTCCTTTGGCAAGACAGATACAAGGAAAAAAATTTATGAGCAAACATTTTCCTTCTAACACAGTCAAACCCCCTTCTCTGCCCCCAACATCCACCCACCCCCACCCGACCCTATAAAGTTGTAACCTATAAACAGGATCTCAAATACATACAGCATAATCATGTTTATCAATCATAATAAACCATCAGTTCAACTAAACTCTACAGCTAGAATTATCTCCACTATTTATAAAGTTTGCTTTTCTCTTCTGATTTTTTCAGTTTAAAACCAGTTCTGCGACAATGCTAAGCTATGCTGAGGTATTTTATGAAGGTGCCAGAAGCCAGCTGCTACCCACAAGTATTGTTCTCAGAGCTGTATGGTGCTACCTTTCGCTGAGGGAAGACAGGGAAGGAGCAAGGAGGGAAAGAGGCAGAGGGATGGAGACAGGCAGGGAGAAAGGGGGCCCAGATTATTCCAGTTATGGACGGTTCTTAGCAGGGCATCACTGCTGGACCTAAAAGCAGCCCCAAGACAAAGCTCAGTAGCTGCTTCATGTTCAGGAATTTGGTCAGAAAAGAAGTACCTGATACTTTCTACATGCTGACCTTATTTGTCTGCGTGAGTAAAAGATGTCTTTTCTCCCACAGTTAAACTATTTGTAATTTCAGTGCA